GATGATGAAGATGCTGATGATGATGATGATGAAGATGCTGCTGATGATGCTGATGAAGATGCTGCTGATGATGCTGCTGATGATGATGATGAAGATGCTGCTGATGATGCTGATGAAGATGATGCTGATGATGATGATGAAGATGATGCTGAAGAAGATGATGAAGATGCTGATGATGATGATGATGAAGATGCTGCTGATGATGCTGATGAAGATGATGCTGATGAAGATGATGAAGATGATGCTGATGAAGATGATGATGATGAAGATGCTGCTGATTACAAGTCAGAGGAGACGAGAACACATATCTGAGAAAACTGCTGTAACATAGTAAAGAAAAGTAATAAAGTACTATGTTTAGATTTTTTTATTTTATTTTAAGGAGAGTTTAAGATATTTTGTTTTTCTTAGGATGCAAATTAGGACATCCTAAGCAGCTGAGGCTTGAAGACAGAATGGAGAAGGAAAAAAAAAAATAATAATAATATTTCTACATAAAAGTAGCATACTGTAAATACATCCAAGTGAGATAAATGAGGAAAATATCCGTGCGTAATTAAGTGAGATTTTTGTCTTATATTTTATGTTATCAGGAATTTAAATGATTCAACCTCTGCATTTTTTTCTCATTTTATTTAAGATAGTTGAATTATAGTTATGATGTGCTTCTTAATTATTGTTAAAGGGGGGGAACTTTGTTAATGAACCTTTCCCTAATTTAAGGTGTGTTGTGTGGCGAAGTGATAGCACTGAACTAGTTTAAACCTCGTGTTCCAAGTTCTGATATAAATGTCTGAATAAAAGTCCAGTAAAGTGAGCATTAAAGATGATATCACGTGTTGTCACAAAAATGAGTGAAATGGCTTTTTTCTTTCCTCGGGGCCACTGGATGATAACATTCACAGTGCATTTCTGTCTGTTAGGTGAAGATATGGATTCTTTACAGATTTGATCTTTATATTATAATTCACTGCAAATTTGAACCAAGAAAAATTACGCGAATTATGCTATTTTATCAAATGTAAACACTTTAGTTTTGATGACTAAGCCAGACAAATGACCTGCTGATCAAAGAGTAACTGAACTGAACTGACACGCTGACAAAGCAGATCAATACAACACCAGATGAACATGTAGAGCAATTTTAGTGTCATTTTTGTTCAAGAACAACACAATATCAACACATTTGAAGCTAACATATCTCAACGTTAATAATGGCCCTGTTTATTCTAATGTGAAAGGCTTGGAAGTGAAGTGAAGCGTGGCCAAGAGTAGAGAAGAGACAGAATGCAGAGACTCTCATACACCTGTGATTATCTCCGCCCACTCTTTAATCAAGTCTCACACGCATGTATCTGCTCTTGGGGGATGCTTATAAAAGCCCTCAGACAAACAGTC